AATCAAATCAGGGGATGCTGTCACCATTATTACTAGATCCCGCATGTGGATTAAGGAAGCCATGTCAGAGTGAAATCCAACAAGGATGTATAACAAGGACCCAGTGACTCCTTCCCATTGGACAAAGTGGCTCTGGGAGAAGACACCAAAGGCATGATGCTCCCTCAGCACCTGACAGATGCCACACACATGCAAGTAGGAAGAAAGAAGGGAAGCATCACAGGCAAAGAAGAGAATCAGCACACAGCAAGCCTAAGTGACAGGTCTAGATCTGCACTGTTCAGTACGGCCACCGCCAGCTGCATGGCCGCAGTGAGCACTGGAGACATGATGCTCAGTGTCCCCACTCTTCCTGTTCTCCAAAGGAAGTGTCTGTTTGACCCCTGCTCCACCATCATGTATGGGCTTGGACAGAAGGGACCAGATTCACACCCCTGCATCCATCAGTGAGGATTGGTTACCGGCATGGGAGACTATCATTTTATATATTGGATAGTCTGTGCCTCAGAGGCTTACATTTAATTATGCATAACATCTTGAATTGTGAATGTTTTCCTGTATCTTGAAATATTTATGTCTTTAAATAATTCATGTCCCATATGCTTTTTGATGGCAGAGATTCTCTAATGGCCACCACTCATAGCCCCATACTGAGCGCCTAACAGATGACAGCCCCAAAATACTTACTTGTTTACTAAGACACAGACTTTTGAACAGTATATAAAGTCAGGTGTGCAACTTCATTTTATTTGTATGAGACATATCATTTTGAACTAAGAAATGGCTATTCAATGGACAATAAATGCTGTCAAGAAAACTTCATTATAATTCGCCAATAAATGTATCCTTCTTACTTTGCAGTAGCTGGTGACAAATTGGCAGAAAGACCAGAAACACTCTGAATATTACACATCAGAGTGGTCACCTCAAACGGTTGGTCTGGTTCTTCTATTTTTATTAGCCATTTCTTTGAGCACATATTTTTACACCAAGTAGAGTTCCTACAGAAGCAGAAAGTTAATATACGATACTGCACAATTGTAATGTTTGACAGTTATATGTGTTGGGGGGAAACTTTGTGTAGGGTGCCCATGGTTGGCTCATTCACAGATATTTACTGAGTCACTGCATACATGTATTCCTTCCAAATAAAGACACAACTGAATACTTAAGTTATTTCTGCACTATTTATATAGAGACCAAAAGACACTTGAGCATTTGCTTGAAGGCCTTTATATAAAAGGTCAGACCTTATAGAAAGTCATGAAGCACCAGAGCTGAGAATGAGCCTCATGAGAACTGAGTTCCCAGATGGAGTCCATGTAAACCACAAGAGTGGAAGTTTTGTCCCACCCATAGATTGGAACTGTAGTAACCTCACTTAGGACTTGGTGCTGTTAGGCAGAAGATTCAACACACATTTGCTTAGCAACAACAATAAGCATTTCTTGAGTGTCGACTCTGTCCCGGCACCTGCTACAGGCCACAAGGACACAGATATAAGCAGGCAGACGAGAACCGCATAGACGTCTGTGAAACGTCCATAGCAATCACATTCAGATCCCATTCACAGATACACATATGAGTTTTCAGTGAGAAGGAGCAGGAAACATTGAAAGGGCTATCTGCCCCTTCAAAACTCAGTTGCCCAAAATCTAATTTGCCATCTTGAAGGATTAGGATGTCTTGCACACTTTCCTGCTCATGGTGGCACCATGTTTCCCTGGAGTCTGTGCTCCTCAGGGGTCGTGTCTAGAAGCTATTTACGTGACTACACCTAGGCTTTGACAGGAAGAGTCCCTCTTCTATATCAATAGCATACTGTTGTGTGACCCTAATGGTCCACTGCTTTGTGTCCTTTTTTTCCTCCATTGGGAGCTGTCTAGATGTGAATGTACAAAACAAAAAAGAAAATATTAATACCAAAAAGTTATTAAAAGAATGGAATATGAGAACTGTAAGGACCCAAGCCCTGGGACACCGAGGCCCAGAGGCCACATGGCACCTCTGGGGCAAAGCAGACCTCTTGGGGTCCAAGCCACTGCTCTGGCCACTGGCCCCTGTGTCCTACCCTAGTATGTATCCCATCTGCATTATTTATTTAAAATAAAATGTAAATTCTTATGGTGCTTTACAAATTTACAGGAAGTTCTCACATTTCCTCATGCAGGTCTCCTGCCATCCTGTGAGGTCGGTTCGGATGTGAAACCCGAAATGAGATGATCGAGGCCACACAGCCACACGGAGTCAAGACTGGAGTCAGGTTTTCTCACTCCATTCTAGGTCAGAAGGGATGGGGTTCCCTGGGTGATAGCCTGGGCCCTGCATTTCACTGTCTGCTGGAGTCAGACTGAGATGCTGCAAAGTGCGCAGTGACAGGGCTTCAGACCCCAAGACACATCCAGTATGAGAAGGCCAAGGACAACTTGGCTATGGGATGTGCTACATGCAGTATGAGGGCATCTTGAGCCATGGACACTCACCAGAAAACCATGGATCGAGTTAGAAGAAGACAGTGAGAAAGAGTCACAGAGATTTTCACATGAGACAAGGTTGTAGCATAAAGTTTTATGTCTGGATAAGTGCAAAACCATGATAGAAGTATAATTAAGAAAATCCCATTCTCCGACAATTATGAACACAATCCATAAAACCACGGTTCAGGAAAGGAGAGCTGTGGAGACATCCCGTAACAAATGGACAGGAAATTTCAAATGGAAAGAATCTGACCACTTGGTTCTTCCCTGAAAAGCATGCACAACTCGTGGGCGCATCAAGCAAAGTACAGACCTGCTCCTAGGGAGAAAAAGCAACCATACCTGATACAGATACTGTTTTCTTCCAATCACGCCAGTTCTTCATCGTGCTTAGACTTGCACTCAGGATGTTGTACATTCCCTGGGTACACACTGGATATGTACATGGGACATATCCATGGGACCCCAGAAATGTGGGAACAGCAGAAACAGTAGGATGAAAAGGGATAGTAAGAAATTGTCACAGAACCTTTTCCAAATGGATAAGCAGCATGCGCATGTTTGACACAACAATCACCACAGGAAAAAAGGAGTACACCTTACGCCCAAGCGTGAGCTGGGAAAGACACAAGGGGAGCACGCGGCTGTGACTGCCCCTGCCTACCGCTGACTTTGTCGTAGCTAAACAGACAAAGGAGAAGACAGCCTCTGAGTGGTGCCGTGAGCCATCCTGCCATAGGGAACAGCATGGGAGCCTGAGAGTGAGGCCCCTTGTTCAGCAGGCTGCAAGAGGGTCTTGTGTGTGCGGCACGGCTCCATGGGAAGTTCTTGTGTGTTCACCTTTGGTTGCTTGACAAGGCTTCCCAGAATTAAACAGCCTCACTTTTGGCTTAGTGTGGCTTTGGGGGATTCCAAGGGCCCCGGAGTTTCTCAAAGCCATACTAGCATGTCCTTCAGAGGATTCCAAGGGCCCCGGGGTTTCTCGAGGGACATGTTAATAATACATCAAAATTAATTAGTTTATTTAAAAAGGTATTGTCAGTATTAAAGGCGTTTTTGATGCATGTTCCCAGTACGGGTTGGTTCCTTTTAATTTTGTTATTAATCTTCCTTGTTAGTGATGTGTGCATTAACCCATTGTGGCTGTGGTCATGCTCTTGTACGTGTGGAATGAAGTTATTATGTTGGATTTTTATGTACCTTCCCCCCAGGGAGACGGTGGGTCCGAGTGCAGTAATGTTTATAACTAATTGATCACAACCAGTTACAGATTTCTTTGTTTCTCCACACTCCCACAGTTTCACTTGATTTACCAAGAACATGTTCTTTCTTTAGTAATAATAAGAATGATATAGTGTGTTTTTGTTAGCTTGAGTAGGATCATTTAATTTTTTACTCTGTTCCTTGTACTGTTCCCAGAGTCAATTGACAAGTAAATAGAAAGTTTTACTATAAAGATAAACAGTTCCAGACCATCAATTCAAAATATGGCTAGCTGTGATGCTAAAAGCATGAGTGTGAATGAAGTGGGACTTAGCCTGTACAAGAAACTGCAGCAGTGGGTCTGTGACAACATTATTGATACTGTAGTCCCCTTGGAGCCATCTCTATTAAATTCTGGTGCTAGCCCCCCTGACAACCATAAGCAAAACTTAAAAGATGACGTGAAGTTCCTCCAAAGATTCCAAATGGCTTTTGAGTTCAAAAGAAGAAACAAACCTGCTGCAACTCAATCAGAAATGTGAATACTCATGCAGCCTGGGAAGTTAATTCATCTTGTTTTCCACACTTGATTTCAACTCCCAAGCCTCATCTCCCCAAGCTTCTTATTCTGTATCCAACTTTAACCTGTTTTAAAAAAAAAAAAAGATAAATAGGTAAAATAGTAGAGATATATAAAAAGGTTTTGATATTAATAGATTTTGTTTAGATTAGTTTAAAGTGTAATTGTTTTTAATAGTAGTACAAAATATAATAGAACATCATAATTAAGTTTCATTATATAAAATCATGTTACAGATATTGTGATTTTGGTTAAGAATTAAAATAATTAATATAAAACATTAAATTGTTAAATATAAGTGTAAGTAAAATTTAATAGGAATTTAGAATATAAGTTTATGTGTAAGTTTAAAAGGTTAAGAAATGTGATTCAGACCAAAAGTCTGACGTTTTAATGCCAAGCATGCTGCTATTACATAGTTTCCTGGCCACAAGCCACAGGCTTTGGGGTGAATTACTGATGCATGAGAGGGTGCTTTTGTCACAGCATGAGTGCTTTGGAACATTTTGATTTTTCTTTTTCTATAGAGATGAAATAATAAATGTTTTGAATAAAAGATATATCATCATGTAAAAGGTTAAGTAAAAAATATAAATAAAGCAAGATTCATGTGGTCATCATCCACACTTGCACTAGACATCTGTGGTCCGTCTCTTTCTTTCCTCGCCGACGCCACACCACCTATTCAGGTCCAGCGAGTCCTGCGGAGCTGGTCTCTGGCAGAGAGGAGATCTCTGAGCCTAATCACTGTGGGGGCACGCGTGGCAGCAAATAGTCTCTCTCAAGGTCTTCTGTATCTCTTGGCTGCGGAAGGCATACATCAGAGGGTCAATCACAGAGTTACACATGATAAGCACAAGGTACATATTGAAGTGGGACATGAAGCAAGAGCAGTAGAGGTTCTGAGGGCACAAAATCATCAGCATGAGATGGAGGAAGAAACGAGCCCGGCACACGATGAAGATGCCCAGCAGCATGGCGAGGGTGACGGTGCCCTGCGTGCTGCTCCTCTGCCACATGGCACTGTACCTGGGCAGAGGTGCCATCCGCCTGACATGGGTCCGTGCCAGGAGGAACACGTGTATGTGCAGAGACAGCACGAGGAACAGCATAGTGAAGAACATGGAAACGTAAGTGGATTCGTAGTAAATAATGAAAACAATGCCGCAGCCTGTGCGAAACACCCAGACGCACACCATGATCACTCCAGAGTGCCTGGCCATCATTATGTGGTGGTAGCACAGGGCACAGAAGATGGTGACATACCTATCCACTGCAATGGCCAGCAGACTGCACATCGAGGTGACGACGGAAATGCGGATCATGGAGCCAAACACGTTGTCAATGTGATGCACAAAAGCGTCTGCCATCACCAGGTGCTTGTTACTTATCAAGTATATGGTGACGGTCTCCCAGGCATTGGACATGCTCATCAACATGTCAGCCACTGCTCAGCTGCACACGAAGTACACGGGAGAATGCAAGTTCTTGCTGTTCATGATGGCACCTATGACCAGGATGTTCTCCAAGAGGCTGATGAAACCCAAAGTCAGAAACACCTCCGCAGCGATGCCCATGTCTTCACATGGCGAAGACTTGTTTTTGACATTCGGTCCTGAAAGGTTGCCATGTGTGGCATTCAGGTTGAGATCCAAGAAATACAGGTAAAATGAGGAATTCATTGCTGGAGAAGAATGCCTCCTCTTCTTGGCAGCAAATCTACTGTAAAACAGTTTTTTAATTCCCAATCCAGAGAAGTTAACAGTCTACCAAAGAAGTACAACAGCACACAAAAAGCAAGCACAGCCTACGAAAGGGAGGGCTGAACACGACACGTGTGAGGAATGGCTCGACCTGCCCCATCTGATACGTGCTTCTGATGCCAGGAATCCTCTCTCTCCCACGTGTAGGCTGCAAGTTTTCACCCTCTCCAGCTCCTCCTTTCAGCTGCTATTCTTTAACGTACCTTTTAATAGAGTGACATTCATCTCTGTGTGCCCAGCACAGCTTCACTTTTTATGCCTGTTGTCCTGGCACCTGAGTTGACTCTCAAAAGTGTCCCCAATTCATAAGCTACAGAATCCCGGCTAGTCTCCCAGTTTTCACATTCCTAAGGCTACATTTGCCTCAACCGAGCTCAGATTTCTGAAAACTATACAGACCCATGTTTTCTTAAGAGACGCAGGTAGGGGCAACCTTAACGTTTGCTAAGACTGCACCACAGTGGTCTGTCACCTTGTGCATAATCACATATAAATTAGTCACCTTTACTTTGTAAGCTTAGTTGCATGTACATGTGAAAATTGAGGAAAACAGCATGACATTTTCCCTTAATAAATCTTTCCCCCTGACTTCTGCATTATCTGAAATGGCAGGAAGTCTGATTAATAGACAGTTTTATAAGTTGCGCATGAGCAAAGTATGAAGAAACAGGCGATTTAAATCTAGTAAGTTCAAGAGCAAGACACTTCACTCATTTGTCCTCACAATTTCTTCATGATTTATATTCAAAAATCCCCTTGCCCTCCAGACTCATAGCACATGGGGAGAGAGAACTTCTGTCCTCATCTTCACCATTAATACCGATCATCATAAGCATTTACTGAAGTGCAATCACTTGCTATGTATTTATGTACAGTTCTATCTCAGAGATATCAACAAGTTATGCAATTATTTAAGAAAAGCATGGACGACCTGGCTGTCACCTCCCACCCTCCTCCACATGCAGGGTCAGCATGGTTTTGCATTCGTTTCCAGGCGATTTCTAGCAACTAGCGTGTGGCTGTTTACCGGGGCTCTCCTGGGCTTGACATGGGCTCCCGCTTCCACGGCTGTGCCTGCGCCTCCCGGGTGGTCTCCCTGAGCTGCACGGGCGCTGTAGCCGCCGCCCCACCTTCATTCCGCAGCCCTGCCCGAGCTGCTGCACTGCCTCTGCCAGCCCCTGCTTGCATCCCATGACTTAAACTCCTCCTCAAGAACTGTCTCTGCTGTGCCTGGTCTGTAAATAAAACATGCTTTTGCTACTACAGCAAAAAGGGAAAAGATCGTTTACTCTGGCCAAGAATCTGGCTTTTTTTTTTTTCCTTTTTGTCTTTTTTTTACTGACCGGTAACGGGATCGCAACCCTCGGTGTCGCACCCGTACCGGGGATGGCAATGGGATCGCGACCCTCGGTGTTGCGCCCGCGCCGCGCTCAGCCAGTGAGCGGGAACCAGTCTCCACATGGGATCCGAACCCTCGGCGGGAGCGCTGCCACGCTCCCAAGCGGCGCACTCTCCAGTGTGCCACCGGGCCGGCCCAAGAATCTGGCTTTTGACACTACTTTCTGGACCTCCCATTTCTCTGATACCTAAAACACTGACCTTCAACCCACAAAGGATCTTTATTTTACAAGTGATGGGCAGATGCGTAAGTGGCCCAGGGCAAAATGCATGGGGTGGCTGGACTACTGGGCTTTCTTTGGGCTTCGCGCTTGATCAGACCACCTTTCCAACAAATGCAAGCACAATCTGGGTGGTCTAACACCACAGGGAGGCCTAGTGCCATGCTGAGAGCCACAGGACAGAACTCTGCGAAGACAGTCTTATGTTGAGAACAGATTCAAGCATTCCCCTATTTGTTCCTCATATTCCAGGTCTGCAAAAGGTCCTGGTTTCCTAACAGTGTGCTCAAAGTGGAGACTTCTAATAAAGGTGGTTGCCTGGGCTGCATGGCCCACTACCTCACACTGGTTGCAGTTGCGCATTGCTAAGCTCCGTCTGCAGGTGCTGTACTGAGTGCTGAGCATGAATTTCCTCTCTTAATATTTACAAAAACCCTAGGAGGTGGGTACTATTATCATTCCCATCTCACAAAGGAGGTTATGCAGCAAACCCAAATTCCTGAGGCTGGAAAGTAGCAGAGCTGGGACTTGCACCTGGCGGCCTGGCTGGAGAGCCAGCCTTTCACCTGGCATGACACTGCTGTTCCAAAGAGCCCTGGTGGCCAGCAGGCATTATTATAAAATGCTACTGGATTTGATTACAGTTTTCTTGTCTTTGTACTCTTTATTAGATTTTGTTATTTAGGTTACCCTGACTTTGGTTTAAAAAAATGAAGGAGAGATTTCAATTATTTTTCTATTCTGAAACAGTTCAACAAGTAGAGTAGGAATTATCTGTTTCTCTCAGGAAAACAATTGAAGCAAGGTCAACAGAGCTACGAGAATATAGGCTAAGCTCTTGAAGTGTCCCTGTCATTGGATATGTTCTGTCTCCCAAATAGTGTCCTAATAACTTTACTTCACACACAGTAACATGGCTTTCTATGAGCCACTGAATTCCACATGAACTGCTCCTCTCCCAGTGAAAGGCCAGAGTAACCATGCAACAAACACAGCCGTTTATTTTGGTTTATGTCTTGAGCAGTGACAACAGAGATGATCCTCAGTTCAAGTGCATGGAGAAAATACATGGAGTCATATCTGTGAAGGCTCCCGAGGGTGAAATCTACTTGGACATCTTATGTCATGGGCTGGGTTCCCTGAGACGCACTCTGAGAGGAGTTTACTGTGCAGGATGTTATGTAGAAGCCCCCTGGGGGCCAGACCTGCTGAGGGTGGGGCTGGGGGTGGGAAGAGAGCAGGAGAAGCAGAGCTGCCAGGCAGGCCAGCAGGCTCAGCCCTTGCACCCTGCCTGGCTTGGTCACCAGAAACATGCTGCCTCGGGGAAGATGTGAGGTCTGCCAGGACATGGCCAAGACTGACCCCAAGAGAGCTGAAGCTGGAGGAGGTTGCTGGCCACCCCTGCAGCTGGGCAGCAAGTCCTCTCTTGAAGGGGGTCTGGGTGGCACATCTCTTTATCTATTGCTCAGGACATCAGCAAACTCTTATTTCATGTCATCTCTGTGCCAAAGCCCATGTTAAACGCCAGTGACGGTCAGGCCAAGTGGACTGTGAGTCCTTAGCAGAGGCAAAACTTACCTGGGTGAGACACTGAGAGGGCAAGACACGATTCCAAAAAGTTAAATTTTACTTATTTTAAAACTGCAAGGATTACAAAACACTTTTGTGTATTACCTTATTTGATCCAGGATAGCTGGGAGGTGTTAACGTTGTTGCCATTTTCGTAGATGCAGACTGCTGAGGCTCGGCAAAGCTGAGTGGAGTTTCTGACACCACTTGGCTGATAAGCGGTGACACCAGCTGTTGAACCCAGATCTTCCCTTCCCAAAGCCCACACTTATGCAGACACACCCACCATGACCCATGAACATTAGACAAGAGTCCTAAATGTGCACCGAGTTTCCGATCTTACTTATGAAAAGAGAAAAGGGAATGAACATTTGTTTAGAGCCTACAGTGCCCGACACCGTGGTCTGCATGTCCACATCCTCGGCGGATTCTCCCAGCAACCCTGTGCAGTAATGTCCTTCCCACCGTCCACGGATGAGGAAACCCAGGCTCAGCGCGGTCGTGTGGCTGCTGATGAAAGGAGGACTCGGCCTCTGGATCCAGGCTTAGCCCAGGGCCTGGGGAAGCCGGTCTTGTGTTCGGTCCACGGAGGAGGAAATGTGGCGCCCCAGGACTGCAGGGACAGGTGGACCGGGGTGGCGGCGGCTGCGGGAGCGCAGGGGGTGGGACGCCGGCGGCCCAGGTTGACACGACACCGGGCAAGGGGCGTGGGATGGCGGCCAGCCAGGAGCACCAAGCGGGGAGAAGCTGGCTTCTCTGAGGAAGGGAAAGAATGCCAGGTGCCTGGGGAGGGGAAGGGGCGAGGTGACGCGATGCTCCGCGAGGGACTGGAAGAGCAGGGGAAGCCCGGCGGGGTCCCAGGCCCAGCGGGAGGCTGTCAGGTTCGCAGCGTCAGACCTGGCTCCGCAGTGACAGCGGAATCGCAACGCAGTCCTCCCCGACAGACCCGAGTGTCCAGACTGAACACAAAGCATGGCCTGGAACCAGGAGGTGCTGCAGGGCGAGACCCTCGCCACACCAGCTCCAGCGCCCCCTCAGGTGGCAAAGGGAGCGCTCGGAGTCTGGGGATTTGGTGTGCGGATTTGGGGACTGTCGAGCTAGGTGACCGTGCTACTTGTCGGGCTCTTTTACCTGCCGGTAATCCTGCCGACTGGGCCTACTGTGGAGCTAGGGCTGGGTCTGGAGCTCACACGCAGGTCTATGAGCTAGGTAACGGGGCAAAGCGGCCCTCGGAGCCTTGGATGAAGTAGGAATAGTCTTTATTCAGCACACTCAACACTATGAGCTAAGCAGTGCACCGAGAAACTCGGAAACTCAACTGCTACCAGCAAAAGTCCAAAGAAAAACTGAAACTGAGCAGCTGCCAGCAGAGTAAACAAGCTCTATTCTTAGATGTGAGCTCTCTGCAGCCAGCCTGCCTCACACGCTGCAGAACACACAAAAGCAGTTAACTAGAAAGATACGTGGGTGCACATGCACACTAACTCCACCCACGCACGACTTGTTTACAAGGAATGTGCTGCTTGACCCCCAGCCAGACCTGAGCCGAGGGAGCCTGACTAGATTATTCTATTTTCCCCACAGGGGCTTTTCAATTTTTTATTTTGTTTTTCATTTGTGTTTCATGTTTTGGTTTTTTGGTTTTGGTTTTGGGGTTTTTGTTTGGTTTGGGTTTGTTTGTTTGACCACCAGAAAGACACGATCTCTGTAATGTCATGACACATCCAGCTG